TCTGGGAGCAGTTCTATCACACAAGATGACGGACGGCTCGGAAAGACCGATTGCTTTTGCCTCGCGATCACTAAATACAGCAGAGAAAAACTACAGCCAAATCGATAGAGAAGCAACTGCAATAGTTTGGGGAATGAAAAAGTTCTTTCAGTATTGTTATGGGCGTAAGTTTACATTAATCACTGATAACAAACCGCTTACAAGCATATTTCACCAAAACAAAAACTTACCAGCCACATCTGCTACACGATTACTACACTACGCGAACTACTTATCTGGATTCAACTACATCATACAGTATAGAAAAACACAAGATCACGCAAATGCCGATTACTTATCAAGATTACCGCAAACCATAGATGTTACAAAGAAGAACGATACGCCAGGAATATTTCAAGTCAACCAGCTGGATTTTCTACCAGTAACCAGAAAAGATATACAAAAAGAAACATGTCGCGATCCAGAGCTAAAAAATCTATTTAACGCAATACAAACAGGAACAAAGTTACCAGATGGATTCCAAATAAATGAAATGTCCTTGCAAGATGGATGTATCTTCCGAGGAATACGAGTTGTTATACCAAAAACATACCAGAAAAAGATCTTGGAGGAACTACATACAGCACATACAGGGATGACAAAAATGAAAGCTTTAGCCAGAAGTTACGTTTGGTGGAAAGGCATCGATAAAGACATTGAAACAATGGTAAATTCATGCCACAGTTGTTCAAAAATAAAGAACAATCCGACAAAAATTACCGTACACACGTGGGAATTTCCTACAGCACCATGGTCTAGAGTACACATAGACTATGCTGGCCCGTTTCATGGATACAATTTCCTTATTCTCGTAGATGCATACAGCAAATGGCCTGAAGTAATACCAACCCATTCAACAAATTCAGCAGCTACGATAGAGATGTTGCGAGATATCTTTTGCAGATTCGGACTACCAAATACACTAGTTTCGGACAACGGACCACAATTCAAGTCAAATGAATTCCAACAATTTCTCAAGGCAAATGGAATTATACACAAAACAATCGCACCGTATCATCCAGCAACCAATGGACAAGCTGAGAGATATGTTCAAACATTAAAACAGGCATTACGAGCAATGTACAATGAACCAGGTGACATAAAATTAAAATTATGCAGATTTCTCATGCAGTACCGCAAAACTGCAAACTCAACCACAAATACCAGCCCAGCAGAATTACTACTTGGGAGAAACATAAGAACCAGATTGGATTTAGTTAAAAGAAACTTACCCAGAGAAGTGAATGAACGGAATATTCCGGAAGATAATATCCGAAGCAAAGAGTTCAAAGTGGGGGAGAAGGTACAAATAAGGAATTATAACAATAAGGAAGAAAAATGGAAATATGGTATTGTGAAAGAAAGACATGGACTTCAGTATGAAGTAGAAATAGATAAAAAGCTACACAGGAGACACACAAATCAAATGCTACCGACCGAAGTAAAAATTCCAAATACACCTGAAGTAGAAGACATTTTACCACACTTCAGTGATTTGCAAAGTTCTGCACAATCTACTGAAAATATACAACCTACTGAAAACACACAACCTACTGAGAAAACTACCGCAACTACAACAGAGACAACTACCGACGAAGTGAGACGATCAACACGAATAAGAAAACCACCTCAAAGACTCGACCTGTAATATTTACCAAGGGGAGAGTGTTACGCCACTGTACACAATTCAGGGTTACCAACAGAATGAACAATGACAGCGCGGTACTAGAATATACGTAGACGTTAATTATCAAAGTTTGTTAAGTAAATATAGTTTAATAAATAGTATTTAAGTAAGTTCAGCACAGTGTTTCTCTACATATACAACAATCTGCTTTTCATGTTATTTTATTCACTTATTATTTATACTGTATTCTTGTGATTATGACCCATATAACTATGTTTTGTTTTGTAATTTATTTTTATTTGAACTGTGTAAGTCGACAGGGTTTTTATGGTCCCTTTTCCCTGTTCTTTGACTCAACGGGCCACCCCTTTGTCTTTGCTTAAATTAAATCAGGGGTTTAAAATTTAATACTTGTGTTTCATTAAACCTGACCAATTTCAAAATAACGTTATTATCAATGTAAGTAAATACACAACGTAGAGTCCTAATTTTTATAAAGTAAGTAAATTAACTAGACGATCACGAATATGCCAAAACAAGTATTTCAGTATACTTAAAGAATCGGGTTACGAAAATACATAGTGGACATTACAGTACTATTTATCCCTCTTACAAAACTAATTAACTTAAGCATTAATTCTAAAATCTTTCCTAAGACTTTTGTTGTCCCAGTATACAAAAAAGGTGATCGAAATCAGGTTAATAATTACCGTCCTATTTCGCTTTTACCAATCCTCTCAAAAGTATACGAAAAACTTATCTTTAAACAAATTTTGGAATATTTACAATCTTTTAATTTATTTACAGATAAACAATTTGGTTTTCGTAAAGGCTTATCCACAAACAACGATGCCATTTTATCATTTATTTCCGAAGTAAATAACTGTTTCCAGTCCAGAGAATATTTGATAGGCACATTCTTAGACCTGAGTAAGGCTTTTGATTGTGTATCGCACGAAATTCTAATTAGAAAATTATATTGCTACAATTTTCACCCTAACAGTGTAAAATTGATAAGCTCATACTTATCTTCAAGACAGCAAATAGTCATACACAATGGCTCTGATTTATCCTAATCTAGTAGTTTTTATGCAAATCATCTTGTCTGTAATTGTATGTATTTACTTGTAATTGTAATTTATTTACCTTTATCTGTGTGAGTCCAAACCTTCTCAGGTAATTCATGGTGTTCCTCAGGGTTCGATCCTGGGACCTCTATTATTTCTAATATTTGTCAATGATATGCCAAACTATCTATCTTTACCAAACAATATAACCTTGTTTGCAGATGACACCTCATTTGCTGTAAGAGGTAAAAAATTAGAACTTGTGAATCAGAATAGTTGCGCTACACAATCGAAAGCCCTGCAATGGTTTAACACCAACAAATTAAACTTAAATGTTGAGAAGACGGTCAATATAATATTCACTTAAAAAAATATCCCAAATATCAAAACAAATCTTGAACTGACCGAACATACAAAGTTTTTGGGTATACTCTAAATTATTATGGCATAACCAAGCTGAAGCTGTTGCTAAAAAATTAACTGCTAATATATTTTTATTGCGAAATCTTGCTCATATTCTGTCCAAATCTTACTTAAGAACAGCATATTTTACACTTGTTGAGTCAACACTTAGATATGGCATCTTATTATGGGGCGCATCTAGCTCCAAATCCCGAGTATTTAGTCTTTAGAGACGTGCAGTTAGAATTATTGCGAATATATCTTATCGATCGGAATGTAAACATCACTTTATTTCATTAAAAATTCTTACCTTTCCATTTTTGTTTATTTTTGAATGTCTAATTTAAAAAAATCTACAAATTTACAATAGCCAGGACACTGAACAATGTACAGTGTACATCGCTATCCTACTAGAAACAGACATGATATTTGTCTAGAAAGGAATAGATTAAATAGAACCAGGAATGGACCTAATTTTTATTGTATACGTTTTTTTAATGTTCTACCTTTAGCTTTTAGAAACTTGGAAATAAAACAATTTAAACCTAAATTAAAAACTATCTTATTAATAAAGCAATTTATTCAATGGATGAATTCTTATCCAACAATTTTTGTGATTTATCCTAATCTTGTCTGTAATTGTATGTATTTACCTGTAATTGTAATTTATTTACCTTTATCTGTGTAATATTTCTTATTTTTCATTATAAATTATTTATTATATTTTGTTACTTACTCTTTGTGTGACTTGTGCAAAAGATATAAAAATGATTTCGAAAAATAATAATAGGAAGGTAGGAAATTAATTCTTGCTTAAAATTAGTTTTAAAAGAGCTTGCTGCCAATTTAACTTTCTCTAAACATTTGTTACAATGAATAATTGCACCCAGATATATTTATATATTTTCAAATATAACATGAATTTGTAGTGCAAATAACATTCCAACCAAGTTATCCGCCAGCTTTTGGTTCGCACATGACGTCACATGGTGCGAGAGAGACAGCTATAACATGAGCATCAGCATACCGGTTTATGTGTCTCTGATGTGTACCGTGATATCAATTGCATTAATCAGGGATGTCAGAATCTGTCAAAAAAATCCGCTAGATTTTGTTTAAATGCACCTTTATTACAAAAATGAAACAATTAACAATAATGAATAACGTCAAATTGACAATTTGCATTGTATCAATGTGTAATTTTTGTGATTAAGGTGGATTCAAACAAAATCTAGCGGATTTTTTTGACAGATTCTGGCATCCCTGGCATTAATGTGCATGCGCATATGCGGCATATGCGCATGCACATTAATGCAATTGCTTATCATACCTACGTCATTTATGTTTGTATCGTAGACTTTTCTTAAAACACTTATTTATACAGTTTGAATAAAACAAACACTACGATTCGTGAAAAATTTGGCAACGGTGTCTCAAATCTTGTGCGCAGATCGTGCGCGGCTCGCGACCACATATATGTGTCAACAAATATTTAAAGCATATACCTATAACTTATAGGTATATGATTTAAAGAACATCAAAAATCATTATTAATTTTTAAAAACTTAAACTTAAAATGTCGAAAGAAATTCAATAACGCAATAAATTTGTGATTTCAAATGATTCCTCTCATCTTTTCTTTTTTTTTCGAAGACAAGAAAAACAAACATAAAAACATTTTAATTTGTAAAAACATGTGTCTACTGGATGAACATACTTTTTAAGTTTATTTATTAATTTATGTAATTGGCTCATTTTTCGTTTTCATCAGTGTATTTCGGCTCTCTATACACCCATATATATGCAACATTATAACATGTCTCTGCGATGTCGGTTGCCTATACGTATATAATATTTTATTTTGTTTGTTATATGGTGTTGTCATTTAACTGTCAATTTAGTAAATATACCAAAAAATTATAGCATTTCTTTATTAAAAATGACTTTTACTCTGTGGAATTTATTCGAAGCATCACTTCTATGCCTTAATGCAGTTTGTATATTGCACGAAGAAAGATTTCTACGAAAGAGTAAGCTTTTAAATATTTTAACCTATAAAATATTAACTTTTAAATTTAAACTATTATATTTTATTTATAAACTTGTTTATTTAGTTGGATGGAGTGCCAAAAGTACAGATGTTCATGGATTTGGAGAAACTACTTCCACAAAAGCCCAATTGTATAATTTATTCCATTCCATAAGGACAGTAGCCAGATGTAATATTGTAAGAGAAATTGTGGTTTAATTTTATTAATTAACTTGGTTTTAGTTCCACTGATACTTTTAAATGTTCTCACGATATTATTTAAGCTGATTTTGGGATGAAAAGGATTTTTTATTTGTTTAAATGAAAGTTTCTTATATATTTTGTAAATAAAACTTTACTTATAAAAGTGTATGTATATTTCATTTATTATTACTTAAGACTCTTGAGTTAAGAGAATTATACTTTACCTGCATACACTTTAATGTCACCCATTATTTAAATATTGATATATTTTAATTAATTTATTATATTCCCACAGCTGAGCAAATTTTCTTAATGAAGTTTCAAATTATTACAGAGGTAGATTATGTATTTCAAAAGAAATTACTGGACACTATGTTTTACTTGGTTAAATCGTAGGTATATACATTTTAACATATATACAATACAATAAATAATATAAAGAAGAAACATTGTAGAGCCGCAATGTGGGTAAGGACCACCAGACCATACCGGATATACTTTATTTTAAACGAAGCTTTGTATTTAGGTTTTTTATGTAGCTTAGGTGGGCTTGGAGTGCCTGAGCACAATCTCGCGCGCGTGGTCATGGCCAAAACCAAATCGCGATGCATCGGTCGGAATCTCAGTGGTATCTGAAGATGAACCACAATGATAATAATAATATTTACTTATTGGGAAAAAGAAAATACAGATATTCAGGTAGGTACAATATCAAAAAAATTTGTCCCTTTTGGCAACGGAAATTCCCTAAAATGGAAAAATTTCCTCGAGGTGACAAGACTGGCAATGGTTTAAAAACTTTTAACTTTTAAGCCGGCAGTCGATTTATGCTGAGTCTGAGTTGTGATAAGGATTTAGATAGAACATAAAAATAATATGACAATTTTCTATACATTTTTTTCCTACGGCTAAGAAGATTATATTCAGAAGCTTCAACTCCGCATGAGAATGGATAGAAAACGCGTCGCGTCGTGTACAATGCGCACAAATAATTATTAAGTAACCGCGCATAAACCGTCAACTCACGTGACAGACTGCACGTCAGTGGCGGCTGGTGGATTTTAAGTATACCAATATCTCAGTTATTAGACATGGGACCCACACCAAATTTATAATAGTTTATATTGACATTAAATAAACAAGTTCGGCGCAAACAGAATTTAAATTGAAGTTTGCGAAAAAAAGTTAGTTTTTCCTGTCGCCTACCCTGCCTCCAGGCCCCCCTATTTGAGATAATTCAAATTAAAGTGGTGCAATTTATTATCTACTATAATTTATCGACAAATTTAAAATTTTATTTAAAAAATCCAAATATTACAGTTTTTATACCATTTTAAATATTTTTTTATTTTAATAAAATAAATAATAAAAATTTAAAATCGAATAAAATCTGTAATATTTGGATTTTTTGAATAAAATTTTAAATTTGTCGATAAATTATAGTAGATAATAAATTGCACCACTTTAATTTGAATGATCTCAAATAGGGGGGCCTGGAGGCAGGGTAGGCAACAGGAAAAACTAACTTTTTTTCGCAAACTTCAATTTAAATTCTGTTTGCGCCGAACTTGTTTATTTAATGTCAATATAAACTATTATAAATTTGGTGTGGGTCCCATGTCTAATAAGTGAGATATTGGTATACTTAAAATCCACCAGCCGCCACTGCAGTGCACGTGCACGCATTGGTTGGAAGATTTACAACAGAAATAAAGAAGGTTGATTGGCAAGCTTTATTTTAATTTCAAAATTTCCCCGGTACCGTTTAGCCATCTTCTAACCGAATTCGGCCAGAATACGGCATGTCGCTGCAAAATCCTTCGATTTGCCCTAGCCGGCCCGCTTACGGCTGGAATACGGCCTGCCGCGGCATAAGCGATACATCTCACGGCTGCTTACGCAAGCAAGCTAACTATAAATAGCGATTGGTTGCAATATTTAGTTGGAAGTGTGCGTCCGGAATGGCATAGCTGAACATTAATTATTTGGAGTCCTCCATCCTCATCTGCTCAGTTACGAATAATGTCTAGCTAGTCGAGTGTGTTAAAAAAGTATCGTGCCATTCAGAGAATTTCAGTACTGAACTTATAGGATATACCTCTCCAGGACGTCTGTAGGCTTTTTTAGAATGGCCAGGCGCGCCTAGGCGGTTGTGGCCGGCACTCGGCTAACTACCCTGGCGAAAATAAAGCGTGCATGAAAAGTGTGCAATAAGTGTGTATTTGGAGTGCAAGTCTTTATAACAACGTACTTTGTGGTAATTTCACACTTTTTGAAGTAATTAAGTTTTTTCACTCTTTATGTACATTAGTCCAGTCATCTAGGCATTTCACCTCGGAATCTAACGGAATAAGCTGAATTTGTGTACAAACCTTTATTTTAGCATTGCAAATGTTGTCTCAAAAGTCACATATGCCAACGTGTGAGCGGCCTTAGATATTCAAGGTCAAAGGTCGCAAAAATAATTTTTTTGAGAATATCTCCTTTTCTCTGCCTCCTATCGTATTTGCATTTATTATACAAGTTGTAGAGAATAAAATTCTCTACAAATTTTGTTTAAAACATTTTTTTATACGTCTAATCGTTTTTGAGATAGAGGGCGCAGAGTGTGGAGCGCTCAGCCATACGTACCTTTAGCGCAAGGTAAATCCTGAATCCCAATCTATTAAACCGTTTTTTTAATTAATTATTTATTAAATATTACTTAAATAACAATTTAATACCTTATATTTATTTTTATATATTTTTTTAAAACATCATTAAATATTACTTACTTTTGACATACAAATAATTAAATACCAAATGAAGTAAATCATTCTAAATATATTCTAATGTTATTCTAATTAATGATAAATGCATTTTAAGAAGAAAAGACATTAAATAAATTTGCCTTGAATATATATAGACATATGTCTCTGGTCATGTCTTGGATCCAGATATTGCTTTTAAAATAACAGACCTGGAAATACTATAGTAGGCTTGCTATAAATAAAAAGGTTAGGTATATCTATATTTAAAGCAAGTTGTGACCCTAGGTATAGGTCTAGGGTTGTGACAGGTAATATTCGTAATATTTTAAAGGTTACCCGGGAAAAAAAAATTATATATAATCATATATAATTATATATAATTATGTATGATCATATATAAAATAATGTATGGACATATATGATTATTTATTTACGTATAATTGGCTTTTATATATGGTTGTATATAAATATCTATAAACATGTAGAAACATACATGGTCATACACACTTATATATATTTAAATTTATTTTAGATGAAGAACGTTTACATTTATAATATATGAACATATATAGTCATATATATGTATGTATATGTATATATTATTATATATGATGTAATATTATTTATTTTGGATGCAAAATACATTGATGTATATATCCAGGATACTTAATATTTATAATATATGACTATATATGTACATATATGGTCATACAAAGTATATATATATATGAACATATCTGGTATAGTGATGTTAAATTTGATGACAATACCATATGGTAACGTAACATTGTTTTTTTAACGTTAAAAAAACAATGTTACCTTTCAGAACGGAAAATTAAAAATATTTTTTCTCTTATACATATATATATTAGGGTGGAGCGAAAAAAAGAAAAAATTTTTTTTTCCTTAGCCTGGGGGTGGAATTTGTAGCCTATAAAAAAAGAAAATTTTTGAAATAAAAAAAAAATTTTTTACTCAACGTCTTGAGGTGGCCCACTGAGTTTTTAAATTAAATTTAAGTTAAAATTCTTTTGAATAAAAAAAAAATTCAAAAGTGTTCCGGAAACTGCGGAGTGTCCTCTTTCTTGCTAATTAAAAGTTATGAGCTTAAAAAAAATTGTCGTCATTATTGTTGTTTTTAAAAAAATTCCAAAATAGTAACATGCTTTTCTGAGGCAATAGAGCGAATTTCGAGTTGAACACGATCAAATTTGTTTATTTTTAGATAAATTTGAAGATTACAAGCCAAAAAATTTTTTTTTTTATTCAAAAGAATTTTAACTTAAATTTAATTTAAAAACTCAGTGGGCCACCTCAAGACGTTGAGTAAAAATTTTTTTTTTTATTTCAAAAATTTTCTTTTTTTATAGACTACAAATTCCACCCCCAGGCTAAGGAAAAAAAAAATTTCGCTCCACCCTAATATATATATATATATTTTGTAACCTATGTTTGTAAAAAAATACAATAAAATAGGACACTTACCTCGGCAGCTCTTATTTGTCGACGCTAGGTCGAGGTTCAAGTTTTAAGATCGAAAATCTGAAGTCAAGGGCGCCAGTTGCGACAAACTCAACAGGAAGTCAGGGTAAGGGAGTTTCTTTCACAATAACAAATTAACCAATACTTTAATTAATTGACACTTTATTCTAACAAAAATGTATCCCACCGTGCGAGCGTAGCTCCAAATAAAATTGTTATCCCACTGTGCAGATGTTTCTATGAACATAACCTTAACTGTCAAACTTAAGCACACTCGCAAACATGAATCAATTACAAAAACTAATAATACAATCAGACGTCTGTTACAAAGGTCGTAATTACTACTTAATTTAATTTGCGAGTTATTGCCGTTATAAAATGTTACAAGTGTTTATACCAGACATTGATACAAGGTAATATTAAGGTTATATTTAGCTTACTTGGTGAATTTGAGATGTAATTAACCAAATCCAAGGAATTAGGGCCCAGGCACAATACTAATGGGTAAGTTCTATTAGCTCTTCCATGCAGCTTTCAATTTAAAGTGTTTTCTAGGCCTTGTCCATTCCACCAGGAACAATGTACACCGATTGTTATTGGAAATTACCAGCAAATCCACAAATCTTCCAATGGGTATTTTAAACACTGTGTTGGATTAGGTACAAATATTCAATTGCCAAAGCTGCAAGCATGTACGATGCCCAACTATCAAAACCAAATTCAATTATCCAATAAAAAAAAGGCCCACAAGATTTGAACCTTTTTTAACAAAATTAATCAATCGATGATCTAAATAAAATTAACTTTTAGCATTTAATTCACAAGATGTGTGCCAGCAAAAAACAATTTAAATTTGTCATTTTTCATCCCAGTGCAGTGGCAACACTGTGACATTAATTTAGCAATATTTATTGTTTATTTGTTTATTTATTTGTT